TGCAATGCGTGGGAAAGGTGCAGTGGCTTCATGTGGGCCACCACAGGGCCAGAGCTGCAGCTGTCCAGAAGGAAGGCGCCATGACTCAGAGGGATTATCGCACTATTGAATCGAGAGCTCCTGATCTGTTTCATGCAGATTCAGGCGCTTCAGGCTGCCAGATCTGCGAGTGCCTGCACAAACACGGTTATCCCACCTGAAGATCCATGGCCTCACATCCACGGTGTGGACACATGGACCGTAAACCCACACGCCGTAATGCTTACACCTACGTTTAAATCCTCGCCTTTTGAAGTTTAATTTGTCTGGGGAGCAGAGAGCCTGGGATACTTTCGCTCTGCTAGGCTCCACGCAGTGGAAGATTTACAGCTTATTGTTCGCTTCCTAATCAATACTGACAAGGCTCAACAGACAAAAAAATTTAAAGGGGGAATGGGGTCTGTTTAACAGTTCAGAGGTAATTACAGCCATGTTGACAAAGTACATCAAGTATTTTGGCAATTCGATGGCGGATTTGAACGGTTCTTTTTGAAATGATTATATAAATTTAATGGGGTCAAAATTATATGTGCATGCAGGATCGCATGTGTGCATACACCTCCACTTCCCATTCCTGCTGCAGAGGGTTTGCTAGATGTCAGCTTCAGCTCTTCTGGGAAAGCTTTTATGAGGTTTATGGGAATGTTTGGTCATTTGCATACGTGAGGTCAGACACTGATGTTGGACAAGAGAGGCTGATTGCTCTCACCCATCTCAAAGGTGTTCTTTTTGGTTGAGGTCAGGTCTCTGTGCAGGTCAGTCAAGTTCCTTCAGAAGAAACTCTCTTATCCATGTCTTTAAGCAACATGCTTTGTGCACTGGTGCACCATTATAAATAAGCGGTGCCCCGATTCGGTATTGATATCGGTACAGCAAAAGGAGTATCAGATTATATCTGCCTGCCTTTCAAATCTCTGATAGAAGTTCTTCACTCCAACATTTCCATCCATCAGGGCTTGTGTCCTGCATGCAGACCCGTTAGCTTATAATAAATCGGTCAGTTTTCATATCTATTGTTGTCAACTATTGTTCTGTGAGTAATATCACTAGATCAAGTCTTTTCTAATACAAAATAAGTACTAAAAGTGTGTGTGTGATTTGTACTAATATTGTGACGGATCAGTATCGATATTGGCCAAAACTCAAATCTGCAATATCAGCATCGTATTGTAAGTGAAAAAGTTGTATTGGGAAAACCCTGAGTAGTGAGGGAACAGGTAGCTGCCATTCATAAATTGTCCCAACAAAGATTGGAGATGATATTGTCCAAAATGTCTTGGTCTGCAGAAGCATTAACAGTCCTGGAATAATCTTCCAAAATATCAGACCTTGACCTCTTAAAGGCATGAAACCAATTTAAATGAGGTGTGCCAATAACAAGAGTGGTCGGACATCAAGCAAGAACTGTGGCAGGACCCATAGATCTTGCAACCAAATTATATGGCTTCAGACATTTAAACTAATTTTTTTAGTGGGCTTATATATGTTTGAATGTGCATTCCAATTTTGACTGTTCCTATATTAGAAAAAATCTACGGCAAATCCAAACTTGTTCAGCAATTTTGTTTGCCTTTTAATAAAGGTTGTATAGCCCATAAAAAGAACAGTTCAAATAAAAGCAAATTACTGAACGCCTTAAAAGGTTATCATCTCAGGTTTCCAGATAAGCATATGGAGTGGGATTTGTTTATCACCTGAAGCAAGCCATTTGCCCATTACACCAACTCCTTCTGCAAAGAGCAGGAGGACCGCTTTAACAACTTGTTTGCAGGGAAAGTCTTTTCACTTCCCTTGTTAAAGACTGACCTCACCGACTTCGCCAGTGAACGAAGCAGATGACCTCATGCAAAAGCACAGGGGCGGTTGTGTCACAGTCGGGTTTATGTAAGATGTATGAGCGTTTTGTGCGTAGTAGTAATCTCTCTGGGCACTAATTAGAGCCTGGGGAGCTTTGAGGCGTCTCAGGTTAGACTCCTGTAACTTTATCCTGATGCAAGGCTCTGGTTACACTTGGAAACAGCTTTTTTTTTTTTCTTTTTTTTTTTGTTTTGTTTTGTTTTTCTCCCCAAGCCTTAAGCTGCAGCTCAAACATGAGATTATTTTTGGAGAAAGGGAAAAATAAAAGAAACATGTTACGCATGCTTGTAGCTTTAGGTGTTATCCTGTGGTGTCGGTGGGGCCGCAGAGAGAGAGAGAGGGGTGGGAGTTCCTGCTGATCTGAAATTAATGAGCAGCTGAGTGCCGTGCAGCCGCGGCTGAGCATTCCTGCACTCTTTCATGTTGTGTTTATATATGAAGCCTGAGCTGCTAACGTAGGCTGCGGCTGCGCCACTGCGAGGGTGTCAGATTTACCTGAGCTCAGGTTTCAGCCGCTGTAATTGAGATTGCGACTGGTGTCAAAAGGAGGGGCGGCGTAGAGTGAAGGATTAAAATCCACTCCGATGTGGTTTTGTTTTGTTCTCCCGTCCTTCTGCTTTCTTTAAATGTCTTCTGCTCCCCAGATGCTCTTCTCATTGTTATTACACACGCTGACTAATGAAAAGCAATTTCAATTTATTGTAGTAGTCATTTATTGGAGTTTAATTAATTTATTTATTTATTTGTCATTTTGGAAACACTCGCTTTTTTTTTTTTTTTTTTTTTGTATATGTTACCTAGCACCAATTTAGCAGGGCAACACTATCAGGGGAAATAAAAGAGAGAGAAATTTATACTCGAAAGTAAGACAATGCTCTAGTTCATTTCCACTCTGATGCTTTTACAAAAGGATTTTTATTCTTATCCTGCTTGAGCAAAAGAAACAATTACGGCAACAGAAATCTGGTTCAGTGCCACATTTACGGTCCTAACAACAACAACAACAAAAGCCTGTGATTAAATAATTTTTTAAGAGAATTACTCCTGCTGACTGATGCTTTGTCTTTTCAAAAGAAAGTGCCTTACTATTAATAATATCACATTAGGTTATTTAAGCTCACACACAATAACTGGTGATAAAATAGTCTCACATATGCATCGATTTTACTATGTCTAAACACAAAAAAATGACCACACAACCAGCATTGGGCAAACCAATGTATTAATCTACTGCAAGTCCATCCAGCAAAGTGACCTTATTGCACTGAAGGCCTTTATTTCAATATTTAATTGAGCAATGAGCTCAATTCGCGATAATGGAAAGAAAAATACTGGATTGACTCCAGAATGAAAGCGGAGGCAATAATCTTTTGCTAAACTGCATCATTTTATAACCTGGGCTCCTGCATGTTTCATGGAGAAAAAAAGAATATGTAGACTCAACTTTCAATTCCATTTCTTTCAAAATATCAAATATGAATGTTCAGCTTGTATTAACACAAGAGATTTCTATACGTCAGGCATTATTATTATTTATAAAAATTGCAAAAACAGGAAGGGAGGAAGAGAATCAAGGAAGATGCAGTTGTCATTGTTTATGATGCCAACACACACTAAACACATGAAGTTCCTTGCAGAAACATCCACACCCCTTGAACTTGAAGTCCGTGAAGGGGGAACAGGAAATGCATGGAGGGAAGATCTGGGAAGAAGACTGCTGTTCACTGGCAACCCTGGAGAAGGAGTTGCAGACAGAACAACAAATTTTTCTCCATACAAATGACAACAATAAGGCTCACTCTACATTAAACTCATAGAATGTGCTGTTGTTGCCTACGGCTAGGCATTTATCTGGCTCTAGCTTGCGGTAATTATGCAATACAGCCTCAGCAATAGGAGCTAAAATACGATAAGCGATAACTGGATAAAGTACCACAAACCTTAAGGTGGCACAGAACTTTTTTTTTTTTATTTTCTTATAAAAATATCTTTATGAGGTTGAAAGATGAGACTGCAAAGAGTGAGCGATAAGGAGGTAAATCATTTCATCATGGTCTGGGTCTGTTCTTTAGAAAGTCTGTCGCAAGACTTGGTAGCAGATAAGAGGAGCTGAATCATGACACTTTGTGAGAAGAAGGATAACCAGTCCTGTTAGTATCGATATTTAGTGAACAGTAAACCTGCTGGATTCATCTCAATTTTCCGGTTGGAAATGGTTGTTAAGCTGACTGCAAACTACTTGAAGGCTTTTAAAGATACCAGCCAGTGCTGGGTTTTTATTTTATTTTTTTTTTTTTATCCTGTTGACAAGTGTACTCTGATGATGAAAACCCAGCTGGGTAAGGAAATATAGATTTCCATCACAGGATTTCACAAAACACTCAGCACACTGGAGATGAAAGGGGTCATTTCCACTTTGTACTTATTTGAGATGATGACATCACATGAGGCAGATAGGCGTCTTAAATGAATGAAGAAAAAATATATAGCGGGGAAGTGGCTTTTGATCGACGCTGACAGGTTTTCACGTAAAGTTAGAATCTGCGAGGATTTTCCTTTGCGCGATTACAACTTGTGCAAATCATATCAAACTTATACATCACATTCTGGACTTTGGACGTTTTCTAGTGACTTTTTCGATTAGGGATCCTCGTGTGCCAAACTTTAAACAGATGATCTGATCAGCACAGCATTAATAGTGAGGCGGCGGGGGGAGGAGGGGGGTTAAAATATGTTTTCAATTTTTGTTTTTTTTTTTTTTCATACAGTGTCTAAGGGCTCACTGCTGCTCCCTGCTCCAGGTCCAGCAGTCTTCTTCCTAGGTGACATAACAGCAGCAAATCAAGAAGAATAAGCTGCTCTGAATGAGGCTCTTTGGTCTGCAGAGCCTCAGGCTAATCCATCTAACCAAGCGCAGGAAAAGGGGAACAAAAAAAACAAAAAAAAAACGGTGGTGACCAGAAATGCACCATAAATGTTAGTGTATGTGTGAAGGAGAGAGAGAGAGAGAGAGAGTGTGTGGGGGGAGAATAGTGTATGTGTGGGGCGGTGGGATTGAGGTGGAGCGGGGGGGGGGGGGGGGGGAGGGGGCACAATAAACACACAGCTCCTTTGACAGAGTCGTTCCGCTTCATCATCTTAAGCAGTGAGTGAACAGTGTGGGAGCCCAGAGCGGTCGGAGACCACCAGCCCGGCCTGCGCGATCAGCTGTTTTCTCGGGAGTTTGCGCAGCAGTTGATGTCCCTGCGCTCTCAGACGGAGGGAGAGAGAAAGAGAGAGAGAGCGAGAGAGAGAGAGAGGGGGGGAGAAACTAAAACACTCCGGGGGTCTGTTTGCTGCCGCCTCGTCCGCTGGACCTCGCATCGCATGGGGACATGAACAGTGTGGACCCCGCCTCTAACAAACTGTTGACTTTCAATCAGCGGTAACGGAACCAACTCAATTCTGCTCTCGTACCTGTGTGAATGCATGGCCGCGATCATCTGTTGAATGCTCGTACTCCTCTGTCTTGTCGTTCCTCTCTGTCGTATTCCTGCAGCTTGTGTTACGCAGCCCAAAGCAGTTGAGGCAAAGCTTTACACCTGCTCCCGTGTGTAGAGCATTTGTTGCACTGTTTAAGCGATTTCTTTTTTCTTTCTTTTACCAAACTGGCTTTTCAAAAGAGACTTTTAAGGTTTCTGCATGTGTAAAGTGAGATTTAGTCTATCTTTTTTTTGCGGATATTTGGATAACTCCGAATCTACAAGTCTCCAATTAACCCAGCTTTTTAATTAAACAATGCTTCAGGTTCGCGCTTTAGTTTTAGAACAATATAAATTCATTGACTGATATGCCCTTTCCGCCAACAGCGGACACATTACTATGTGTACACGGAAAAATATGAATTATTCATGTCATGCTTTTGTCTCAAGGTAGAGAAAGGAGGCGGAGGGAGGGGTAAGTGCATATAGTCAGGGCAAAGAGGCACAGGAATAAATAAATAAATAGAGAGAGATAATAACACATGTGCTTGGAATGAATTCAGGCATTAGGGCTGAAAATGGAGAGTTTGGTTCTGGTTCACTCCAAGGTTAGGTCCGGCTTCATGTTGGTGGCGCCACTGCAGCTCTTTTTTTAGTTCTACACAGAAAGAGAGAGAGAGAGAGAGAGATGAAAGTCAACAAATTTATTTAATGAAAACCACTTCTTCAAAGTCTGAGAGGCAGTTGATGATGATCATTTGTGTCTTACATCATAGGAATTGCTTATTTGAAACACAATAGTAATACGTGTGGTAATTAATGTTATAAAATTAGGGTTCGATTTTTTTAAAAGTTGTAAGAGCATAGTATTTATTTGATGTTGTTCTGGTTTTGCTCCAAAAGCCTGCGCCAAAAGTATATAAAACCAAAAATACTTCCAAAAACACATTTTTTTTCTTTTGTCATAAGGGAGGCTAACAGGGCAGCCAGCTGACAGGGCAGTGCACAGCAAAAAGTTAGGGGTGGAACAGTGCGTCATTGCTTCTCAGAAAACTATTAGAATTACTTTAAGGTGTAAGAATAATATGAAAACACATTTCAGTGAGTTAAAACTGTAGCCTTTTAAAAACCTTGGGTAGGTCAAATTACTTCACGCACACGTTTAAGCTGCAGTTTCATTTAAATTACAACTCTTCTAGTGTTGGATATTTTCACAATTTCTGAATATAGCCAATTTGATGATTACAAAAGAGAATTTAAAAAGAATGCATTTGAGAAAGTCCTTTATTTGCTCCTGCGGAAATAAACTGCAAAGTCATAATGCTTTAATTTCTGACCACTTTCCCATTTTTTTGAGCAACTCTATGAGGAAACTTTTAATCTTATGGTTTTAAGATTATCTCCTCAGAGGCACTGATATTTAAAGCTCTCACTTGTGATGAACTGCAAAAATGGTTGCCATGCGGCCAGACATACAAATACATTGTCACACTTCTAACTTCCTGTAGCAGATTGCTGTGCTGTAGAGCTGACGCGAGTTTATCCATAAACAGAACTTTTTACTGATTATAGGTGTGAGTTTTTTGTCCTCTTCCACAGTTAACATATCTGCTTATGTAGAATGACACCACAAACTTTGCTGCTTTTTCCACAGTTAATGTTAAGTTGTATCCTTCAGCCGCCACAAGGGGGGGCTGTAGCCGCTGCACTTCCCCACTTTCCTCAAAAATAGGTGAACTATTTGCTTCCTTGGTGATGTGACATGATTAGTTTTGTTGTTGTTGTTGTTGTTGTTGAATCGTCATTATTATTATTTAGACTCATTAATGAGTCTTTCACGGTCTGTAATGTATAAAGTATAATTAAAAGAGGCCTTGCTTTGGAAAACAGCTGGAAGCCTAGAACGACGACTGTCAGAGCAGAGCTACAGTTTACACAAATTAAGCATTTCAGTGAATACTGTCCACTCTGCTGTGACAGAAACCATAATTTGTAACCTCTCCCATACTCTATTACAGTGTAGAGCAGCTCAGTAATGAATATCCATCTTACCTCTGTCCGTTTCTGAGCCATTTGTCTCTGGCCTGGGCTTTCAGAGTAATTTTTCTTTGGCCAACGTCCATTAGGTTGCCAGAGAGTGAACGTCTGGACACTGGATTGCAAAGTTCAAGTGATGTAGAAACATAAGAGCAGTTTTAAATGCAGGGCAAGCATAGGAACTGTTTTACTCCTGACAATCAAAATGTGCTGTGCAGCATGCCCCGAGTCTGACACAGCAACACCAACCAGCCAACAACGCCAACCAGATTGCAAACAGTGGTACCATGCTAGTATGTACATTCAAACTGCCCCTCAACTCTCAGGCATTATGATTTTTAAAATTTATTTATTCATATTGATCCGGTGTTACATTATGATGCATTCAGTTTGCATTTGACTTTGAATTTCTGACTTGGAAAGTTAAAGGTCTATAGAGAAAGCCTGGGCTTATTATCCAACATGGCTCTCTGTGCTTGTAAAACATCTGTTTGCGTGTGTATATAGACACATTCTCCTGGTGTTTGAATGGAAAACCAGAAATAAGTACATTACATATTCCCTTTCAATAGTTTGCAAGCCTTGTCGCCAACCAGCAAATATGAACAGATTTTCTGACTTGCAACTGGACCACGTTTAACTCGAGTTTCAACATTCCCAGAGCCAAGTCCAACTTCTGAGAAATTAAACAAACTCTTTCAACATCGCCTTTCTAAGTAATGAAACAATTCTGGTACCGCCAGCTTGTTAAAGCATTCATTCGTCTTTTCTGGATATAAATTTAAAAAGTGGATTAGATTAGAAATCCATAAGGGAACATTTCTTTTCAAAGGATTTAATATTTAACGAGTTATCCTACTTTCTTCGCATGACTTTTTGCTCATTTAAACCCAGACTCATACAGTCACACTGTAAGACAGTACACTTTCTCTGAAGGACACCAAATCTTCAAACCACATGTCCAGGTTATGAATGATTTCCTGAAACCAGACGTGTTTTTAGAGATTTTTGACTGAACAGTCCACATTAAGCATGTTGTGTACAAGGTAGAGGGTATTTCTGGCTTTAGATTTATTGTTTCGTTACCAGGAAAAACTATTGACAGCGCAAGAGACCTGAGCTAAGAAAACAGATTTGATGTCTTATTTATTTTATCAAGTAAAGCACTGACCCAAAATAATAGACACCAGCATCTAAACACAGTTGTGGTGAATTGGAAAGAATGTAAACTAATAAAGTTAACCACTACTTTGACTCTTAGATGAGGAGTTTAAGAAAGTTGGGATCTTCTTTACATTGAATCCTTACTGTTCTCTACTTGACTGGGGATTTTATTTTTTAAAACACTAAATCCAGATGTTGTTGCCGCGATCCAGTTTTGAATTCTGATATGAGTTTGAGCTGAAACGTGAGTGTGGTCTGCTCTCCCACAGCTCTGCTGACAGGTACATGTTCCTCATCAGCCTCCAAGCACTTTAATCCCTCAGCTTGTTCTTCCTCTTTATAGATGTCAGCACAGCTTGGAGAGTTTTCAGCTGCCTGGTCTCACAGAAGCAATGTTCAGCAAAAGCAGCTTTTGGTTCACCGCAGGTTATACACCTCTTACATGTGCTAAAATATCCCCGAAACAGATAAAATTATGAAGCAGGATTTCACTTTTGAAGACTAACACACCTTTTCAGTCTGTAAAAAACACATTTCCTTTTTACTGATAATTATTGGGTAAAATAAATAAATAAATTTGCTCAAATGAGACCAGCAGGTGTTAATGTTTTGCATCGACAGAACAGCAATGCTTCAAACAACTACTCCTAACATCAGTGCTTTGGCTTTATGTAACAGTCTAGTCTCCAGTTCAGATAAGTGCAGGAGAATAAAACAGTACAACATATGACATTTTATGCTTTGCTGTCATTTATGTTGACAAAAAGCCAAAGTTTTTGTGTCGGAAAATGGGCGTGTCGATGAATCTGTGTCTGATCTCTGATGAACCTCTTTTCTGTGGAATGAGAAAATGTAACTTTGTTTTGTGAAATTTCCTTTGAATGAATATCAAAAATTGAAAAACAAAAGCTCCTTTGGACATGAAGCTAAAACGGAGATGTGTGCACCACGCTTATGATGATGATGATGATGATGATGATGATGATGATTTGGGATTCAGCTGAATTCCTACATTTATCAGTCTTAGTAGTTCCTTATTCCTAAAGAAAAGTATATGCTGTGTATCAGATTTTCAAAAGAATACTTGAGTTATAGTGGCCTTTTTTGTATTTTTAGAAAGCAGATGACTTCACCTTGAAACTCTGTGATTTGTGCTTGAGTTACAGCAGTCAGAAGTAATTTGCTTTTACTTTACAACAACAGCATAACATATGAAGTGTTAGTATAGAGATATTCTGCAGACTAAAGAATATTAGTCTGCAGAAGTCACAATATTATCCACTACACACATGTTAATACTTGTTATATCAGCAACTTTACACACTCCAAAGCTATGTGAACCAAATATGGCCCAGACAGTTAAGTGTGAACTTAGAAAATTGTGTGGTCGTCGTCGTACCCTGATCAATATCACCTTACAGTAAACCCTGTGTTCTGTCTCAGCACTTTTACAAATGTTGCTGAAAACAAGAGATCAACCTGCTTGAGTGTAGCATGGAAAAAAAAAACTATAAAAGCTTGAAAAAAGTGGTGAGCTGTGCCAACTTACTAATATCTCCAGCTAAGATATTACAAGATCTCCAGCATTTTTTATTTATTTATTTATTTATTTTTACAAATGCCCACAAACTTGTATAAACTGAAGCAAAGAGATATAAATGAATGGTCAATATTTTTCCGTAACGATGCAGAAGACTTAAGAGGTCAAACCCTTTAGGTCAGATTCTATTATGTGGAATAAAATAATATATATTGTCACGGT